TACAAATACACATTTTAATTAATTATTAACCTTTAGACAATTAGGCAATTAATCACAATTTGGCAATTAATCACATTTAGACAAATAAATCATACAAGTCATTTGTTAATAATTATAGCATTCCACAGTTAATAATAATAATTATGAATCCTCAAAATTCCATAATTCAAATGGGGCATTACAATCTATCCTCCTTAAAATATTTCCGTCCTCAGAAATGCGAAAGAACGCACATCTCAGATAACGACAGACTCAAACGGGAATTTCCAATCACGAGGTCCGGGCATCACTCTCCATCCGTTCCCATGAGTCCTATCGCCTTATACTCGAAAGGCATGTACTCACATACAGGAACTAATCCGACTCGTCCTATGCTCATATGTTTACCTTCTTGCTTGGGAGGGTGACCAGTCCTGCCCGAGCTCAGGCGTACATCTTCTTGCAAGGGACCTAGTACAGTTTAGCCTATACTCATGAGTATCCACGACTTGATTCGTACCTAACGGCACACAATACCTCAACAGGTAGTTCGGTGTATTGTCAACGTACTCCGACTATCTCACCATCAAGGTGGACACGTGACGCCAATTTTAAGTCTCGTATCCAAGTCACACTGATAACTTGCTCACGATTCCTTCACAGACCGTGCGTCTCAATCCGAGACCACAACACGGTACCTCATACATAAAACATGACACTATCAAGCTCACATTCTCATGATATCGACTCCACGAGTCGATCGCAACCCTTATGCACAAACATAAGGCTTTACCCAGAGCAACATGACATTCCCGATTTGCCGACTCCAGAAACTCTCAAGTGAAGCATAGGGACTCATCGACTACTCTCCTTAATCAGAAATCATCAGTTAAGGATTTACACACATTTAGTGGGACTTGGAGCTCTTGGTTCAAGGTTCGAGCGAAAGGGGTTCAAATGGATAACCAAGTATTCCACCATGAAACACTTTCAACAGTTCAGTGAAAACATCGATGGTTGGCCGTATACGCTGGCCTGGGGAGTTCGTGCGTACGGTGATGGCGGCTGCAGTTCGCGTGCGAGTCAACGGTCGGCCGCGCGCAAGCCTCCCGTCTTTCAGCACGGTCGTGCGTGCTCGGCCACCACTTCGCGTGACTACACCCCGTCAGGGTCGGCGGTTGGTCCAGGTTTCCACAAGAAATTACAATTCAAGGATTCCAAAAAGGAATGGTTTTACCAAATTTCAAAAATTTTGGGGTCAACAAAACAACATATATTTCAGGCGTTTCTCAATTTCAAAAGTTTCAAAAAGTCTCAAAAATAGCAAGGTGCAAGTTCGAGTTCCAAGTCCACCAACCTTCTAAAACAACAAACACAGATCTAACGATATGCGAGATCTTAAAAGAACTCTCGTGACGATTCTCCCTAAGTCAGCGGCTTCTGTCGAGACATTAGATAGATAGCTCGCCTTGGCTCTTCCGACTATCAACGTCGGCCGACATGTCAGCTCTTCCTCGGGTTGCTAATTGTGACAGCAGTACTAAACGAGCGCAACTCACTTCCCAATCTTCACACTTAGAAATTTGAACGCGAAGTTCCTTCCGGGATTTCGAAAGGAGGAAAAGAACAAAAAAATTTAAGATGAACAAAATTTAGAATAAGGACGGGTCTGCACTACGCGATGTGCTTGCTCCGGACTCAACTATCCTCCTTAAAGTACGAAAATGGGATAACAATAAGAAGCCTCTAGCACACTTCAAAATTGGTTTCCATGCGAATAGGAAAAAGGTTTGCAAGAGTGTACAAGAAGACAAGAATTTAAGAAAGGAAACACGATTGCTTCGCCTTCACGATTCCACGATTCACTGTTTTCATTATCGATTCAAGCTGTTCCTGGTAAGTCCCGCTGTCGCTAGGAAATCACTCACGGTGCAAAATACAATTTTTTTTTTTTAATTTTTTTTAACTTTTTATTTTTTGCAAAAGAATATATAATTGTCGCCCTCCTCGAGGCTTAGCCACCCTCGAGGGTGCGACAGTGTAACATATTAATTTCGCTCACCACTCATCTAGAGTTCCAGAACGTTTAAAAGTAGGAGGATAAATTCCTAAGCCCCGGTTTACATCGCATAATATCATAATATTTCACATAAGTAATTCAAAATTACTCAAGTATTCATACCTGAGTTGGCGCGGCACGACGGAAGCGAGTGGTCATATACTACATCATAGTATGCCAGTATTTCACAGAGTTCACATTATTCACACATACCAGTCTACAGAAACGCAGACTGGCTCTGATACCAAACTGTAACGCCCCACTTTATTTTACCGAAAATCAGAATAAATTTTTCAAAATTTATTTCAAAATACTCATTTAAGGCGCTACTCATTTTCGAACATCAATACTTATCCAACTTTCCAATATTCAATCAATTATCAAACTCAATCATCATTCAATAATACTAACTCCCAAACGGGTTTTCCAAGAATCCATAAATCACCCAAACCGGGTTCCAACATTATTCAAGTCATAGAATCCCAAAATACTCCAAGTTCATAGTCATAAAATCCAAAATTCATTAATGCGGAAGCATAACAAATAACATGACCGGTCTTACAGACCGACCACCACTCGCTCTACTCAGCCATCGTGCCTGCCTTGCTTAATCAGAAACGTGAATTTCAGGTGGGGATGAGCACAGTTGAAAAAAGTAGTGCTCAGCACTATGCAGTAAACGTTATTCACAATAATGAAACAGTAATCAATAATCAATAGAGTATGGTCGCAACATGTATTCGAATCAATTATTTATCCCATCTCCTATCACAAAGTCAACTCTCATGTGCACACCTACGCATAGACTACTGCTGATACTCGATTCGAATGCCAAAACCTACGCCTTGGTTTTACAACGATACCCAGCAGAAATCACAATCTTACTTAGTCGACAGATTAAAACCCACGAATCTCGAAATGAGGCGAGGTCAACACCTCTAGACACCTACATTAAGTCCAGATACTAAAATCAACATCTACTTTGACTTAAACAGAAATCACAATCGTACTTAGTCGAACTTGATTCAACTAAGTTGTTCGTGAAGTCCTGTGGACGTTGGAACACTTAGACTTGACCTCTAGACTCAACCAATTACACATGGGAGTTCACATAATCCAAGGCACAAATTGAAGATAACGACGAAGATGCCGGAGTTGCAGTCGCGGAGGAGATGGCACGATTATAGAGATGCTGTGAGGATGATGACAGGATGAAGATAATGGCAATGATGGAGAGGATGGGTGACGTTGAGGATGATGAACACGATGGGGAAAGAGAACAAAAAGCTGCGGGAAGGGTTTTTCTGATTCTTGTGTACGGGAAGGAGAAAAAGAGAGGCATATATATACTTATACATATAGGTTTATTGTCTTGCCCAATAAGACACACACACCTACACTCACGGGCCGAATAGGTTGGGCTCGGATTAGGGCTGGATTATCGGGCTCGCGGGTTCGGTTCAACGAAACGTATCGGCTCTCGGGCCCGACTACGTAGAAGTAATACAGATTTCTCGGGCTCGATAAATAAATTCGCACAATTAAATAAACAAACTAAACATATAATATGTATTGTTAACACACAATTTAAATTTTAAGATAATAATAATAATATTAGTAAAAATACAAATACACATTTTAATTAATTATTAACCTTTAGACAATTAGGCAATTAATCACAATTTGGCAATTAATCACATTTAGACAAATAAATCATACAAGTCATTTATTAATTATCATAACATTCCACAATTAATAAAAACAACAAATAAATAATAATAATAATAATAATAATAATAATAATAATAATAATAATAATAATAATAATAATAATAATAATTAATCCTCAAAATTCCATAATTCAAATGGGGCATTACAGTGACGGGATTATGAATTGGATTATTTCATATGACTGATTAATTGATGAAGCATGTTGATTGTTGGGATTGTATCATGTTGGCATGAGATATGTTCGGGACGGATGTACCCCGTAGTCTAAGTGTGGAATTAATATGTTATGTGAATTTTCGAGTAGCACCCGTTAAATAAATCCTTAAATTGATTTTTGGAAAAATAAATCAGTATTTATCACTTAAAAATAACGGGGCGTTACATTCGTGTTCAGCAGTTAAGAAGTACTCGTACTCTATCGTGCAGTTAAGAAGTACTCAACACTCTCTATTGAACATTTCATTATTATTAGATTTAATTCGATTAATTAGATTTAATTGTATGTTGTTGAAAATGAAATAAAATATATTCTACAAACATGTTGTTAATTATTTATTTATTATGAAGAATGAAGAATGTTTGTGTTACATATTTTTAAAATATTTTATATCTAATTTCACTACTATTAGATTTAATATTTATGCACAAAATTTAAGATAAAAAAATTTTATAAAATTCAGGCAATAAGCATACAAACACTTATAATTATTTTAATTTATAACGTATAAATTGTGAAAATTAGATAAATAATTTAAACTAAAAAAATTTAATAATAATAATAATAATAATAATAATAATAATAATAATAATATAGTAATAGTAATACTAATAGTATATATCGTGTTCAGATATTAAGAAGATTCACCTACGTCGTTCCTACGTAACTTCCGCGTTTTTAGTTTAATTTAAAAATATTAAAGAAATACTAATAAACAACTTTTTCAGTTGGTTGAATTGGATAACAGTCTCTATCGTGTTCAACAGTTAAGAAGTACTCGCACTCTATCGTGCAGTTAATGACTACTCAGCACTCTCTATCGTGTTAGGCAGTTAAGAAGTCATGCTTTAATATTGTAGTGGAATTAAGTATTGATTATTATTCAATCTTTATAAAAAAATACATCCATTCCAAAATCATTATATCATACCTTCACTGCAAAACACACACGAAAGCAAGAAAAAAAAAAAACAAACAAAAAATCATGGCATTCACCTCCTTAAGAATGTAAACATGAACAAGACTGAATGGAACATCAAGGTTCGTGTTGTAAGATGCTACGAGCGTACAACATTTGTTGATCGCTCTACAATTTGGGTCTTGAAGTAATACTTCATGATTCTGAGGTAAATCGATTTCAATATTCACATTGAATATAAAACTTTTTCCCTTATAATTGATTGCTTTATAATTATTTTTTTTATTTATTAATTTCAGGGGTACCGGGTGGAAAGAACCTCCAAGGTTTGTCCCAAAAGTACCTACAAAAAGGAGGCTTCTTCTATCAAGAAGTTTCATATGGAGCTTTTTAGGCGCCATCTGAAGGAAGGAAGTGTTATTGCAATCAGGGACTTCATTGTATCTCCAAATGGTGGTAGGTATAAGATAACAATAGGAAGGGACAAAATTGCTTTTCATGGCCGCACTCGGGTTTTGAGAGTCTCCAAAGATAGGTTTCCAAAATTCCTCTACAATTTCACGAGCTTTTCTCAGTTGGCTAAAGGAACCTTTTTCGACCCTATGCTCATCGGTACAATTTTTATCCATTCGTACTTTAATAAATCTTTAATTCTTATTTTAATACATGCTTCAATATTTGATGTACTATTTGCAGATGTTATTGGACTAGCCGTCGGTTTAAACAAATCGCAGACAAGGACTTTTGACAACAGAACAACACGTTTTGCCGAAATAACTTTGGAGGACATTGAGAAATTTTTATATATCTATAACAATAAAATGTTCCTGTTTTGTAGTTGTTTTCATTTAAATTTTGATATAACAATAACAATACAATGTTTGTATTTTGTAAATTTCTTTTCATTTAAATTATAATTTATTTTAATTTTTGTACTTTATTTTTATATATTAATTTTATAATTTGCAGTCGAAACAAACTATCTTGCACATTGTGGGAAGAAAAGGTTGATGAAATAATGCCCTCCATACTAAACTGTGATATCGAACCTCTTGTTGTTATTTTACAGTTTTGTCGTGCCAAAGTTGTTGGAGGTAAATTTAATACTACTAATTTGTTTGTATTTACTTTTATATTTCAAAGTTTTTAATATTTTAATAAAAGTTTGATTTTTTTATTTATTTTATTTTACTATTTGAGCACCAGTACAGGTTTCAAACACCTCTGATATCACAAAGTTAATTGTCGATCAGTCTGCAGATGAAATAAAAGATATTGTTGCAGCGTGAGTTGTTTATACAATTCACATATCATTTATTATTTATTACTGATGTCAATATATGAATAATGTCATTTTTATTTTAATCGGTTATTGTGTACTGTCTTCTTATATTTTTTATTTTTTTACAACATGTTGAAGTTATGGAAGATGTGCTGAAATTGCGAGTTTAATACGAGAAGTCAATGCTCTGTTGGTTATCACTGGAAATGTGGAAACAAAAAACAAATTTGAATTTTCAGTCAAGACTATCGACTACCTTTACATGTGGGGTCAAGTAAGTAAACAAAAAGTTATTATAAGATGACCTAATTATTCAATTACATTAGATTAGATTGTATCATATTGCAAACTGTAAATATACTGATAACGAATACAGGTAGGCAGTTATTGGATCTGCGTGCTCATTGAGTCGTTCACTGGTACAAATCATGTCGCAAATGTCCCAAATAATTAACTTCGGCCGGGAAAAGATTTTATTGTGAAAAATGTGACGACTTTTTTGACGATGGTGTTTTTAAGTAAGTTTTAAATTATTTTTTTAAAATTTATTTAATTTAGTTTTTAAAAATAATATAATTAAATAATATTAATTATTAATTCTTAAATAATTATAATTGACAAGAATAAATTTTTTTAGTGGCGAAAATTTTTGTCGCTATATGTTCAAATGTCGTCACAAAAAATACCGTCGCTAATCAGGGACTTCATTGTAGCTCCAAATGGTGGTAGGTATAAGACAACAATAGCAAGGTACAAAATTGATTTTCATGGCCGCACTCGGGTGGTGAGAGTCTCCAAAGACAGGTATCCGAAATTCCTCTACAATTTCACGAGCTTTTCTGAGTTGGCTAAAGGAACCTTTTTCGACCCTATGCTCATCGGTACAATTTTTATCCATTCGTACTTTAATAAATCTTTAATTCTTATTTTAATACATGTTTTAATATTTGTTGTACTATTTGCAGTTGTTATTGGACGAGTCGTCGGTATATACAAACCGCAGACAAGGACTTTTGACAAAAGAACAACACATTTTGCTGAAATAAGTTTGGAGGACGTCGGATTTTTATATTTCTATAACAATAAAATGTTCTTGTTCTGTAGTTGTTTTCATTTAAATTTTGATATAACAATAACAATACATGTTTGTTTTTATAAGTTGTTTTTCATTTAAATTATAATTTATTTTAATTTTTGTACTTTATTTTTATTTATTAGTTTTATATTTTCCAGTCGAAACAAACTATCTTGCAGATTGTGGAAAGAAAAGGTTGATGAAGTAATGCCCTCCATACTAAACCGTGATGTCGAATCTCTTGTGGTTATTTTACAGTTTTGTCGTGTCAAAGTTTTTGGAGGTAAATTTAATACTACTAATTTGTTTGTATTTACTTTTATATTTCAAATTTTTTTATTTTTTAATAAAAGTTTGATTAATTTTTTTTACTATTTGCGGCATCAGTGAAGGTTTCAAACACCTTTGATATCACAAAGTTAATCGTCGAGATAAAAGAGTTTGTTGCAGCGTGAGTTGTTTATAGTATTCACATATCATTTATTATTTATTACTGATATTACTGGTGTCAATATATGAATAATGTCATTTTTTATTTTAACCGGTTATTGTGTATTGTCTTTTTATATTTTTATATTTTTTTGCAAAATGTTGAAGTTAAGGAGGATGTGCTGAAATTGTGAGATCAATACGAGAAGTAAATGCTCCGCTGGTTATCATTGACAATGTGGAAACATAAAACAACTTTGAATTTTCAGTCAAGACTATCAACTACCTTTACACGTGTGGTCAAGTAAGTAAACAAAAAAATTATTGTAAGATTACCTAATTATTCAATTACATATTCAATTACATTAGATTAGATTGTATCACATTAATATTAATATCATAATTATAATTATAATATATATATATGTGTGTGTGTGTGTGTGTGTGTGTGTGTACATTTATATATTGTAAATTTACTGATAACACATACAGGTTGGCAGTTATTGGATCTGCGCGCTCATTGAGTCGTTCGCTGGTGACTACTGGTACCAATCATGTCGCAAATGTCCCAAAAAATTAACTTCGGCCGGGAAAAGATTTTATTGTGAAAAATGTGACGACTTTATTGACGATGGTGTTTTGAAGTAAGTTTTAATTTTTTTTTAAATTTAATAACTTTATTTTTTAAAAATAATATATTTAAATCTTATTAATTATTATTTCTTAAATAAATATTATTGTTGTCCTCATAGGTACAAGGTTCAATTTGAAGTGAGTGATGCAACAGATAATGCGTCTTTTATTTGTTGGAATAAAGATTGTGAAAAATTGCTTTGCTATCCGTATCATGAATTGCGTTCCAAATACACAAAGGTCTATTTTTTATGATTAACTTGATTCGAATAAGGTTTGCTCGACCATTTTAGAGGAAAATTTAGATTTTATGGTTTCAATTGTTTAAATGATTAAATATTTGTACTATAAAAATTTAGATATTTTTTAGTAAAAATAATTTTTTGTACTTTATACATTAATTAAACAGTTTTGGGTCATATTTACAAAATTTGGGCCCACAAAACTATAAAATCATAGATATTAGGTCATTAATAGATTGAGTTGCATTTAAATATTAAAAACAATTGGGCCATCTTGAAAATTTTTTAAGAGTGATATTGGGCCGATGTTTAGAAGTGAGCCCGTCCTTCAAAATAAATAAATGGCCTAAATAGTGTCGGTCTGATTTTTAAAGTGTGGAATGTCGAAGAGCCAAATATGTCAGTGACATGATTGGTACTGGTGACACCAGTGAAATACATTATTCTATTTAAACATTTTATTTAAATATATAACTATTCTAACTTGCATATCTACAACTAATTTATAAACATTCTCATCAGTAGAATAAATTATTGATAAACATGTCATTATACAATTAAAATTCCAATATTTACTTCTTCAATTTTCTTTTTTAAACAATTGAAATTCCAACCTAAGAGTCTTATTTATTTATTTTCTTTTCTCAAATGTCTAAAGTTTATAAGTTGTTTGATCTTAAATTTTCTACATACGAATTATATCTAATAATAGTGAAATTAGATATGAAATATTTAAAAAAATTCCATAATGAATTACACACAAACGTTGTTCATAATATTCTTTTAATAACTAAATAGATAATGTTGTACAATTTTTTTGTTTCATTATCTACAATAATCTACAATAAGTTTGACCAATACAAAGATATGATTATGATTAAATTAATCTATTAAATTAATGTATATATATATGGATAGATATATAAAAATTTATAATTAGAATTACTAATGAAATTTTGTGGAGTAAAAATTTAATTAGAGAATAAACATAGAGGACAACCAATATACTAATACCAAATACTAATAACATTTCAATATAAGTAGAAACAAACAAAGTCCTATATTACTTAAATTCAAACAAACCAAGTCCTAGATTACTTAAGTTTAAATTGAAACAAGCCACGACCTAGATTACTTAAATTGAAAAATAAAAACATAGATTAATAATTTGCTACGAAATTAAAATTAAACAGAATCCCAACAGTCTAGAAAACGATGATACTCAACCAAACACAATAGCTACTTCAAACGTCTTCAATATAGGCATTTTCCTCATAAAACACTTCATTCTCTCCTTGAACAGATTTTCCCTGAACTTCATTCTCTCCTTCAACTGATTTTTTAGCATCATGTAACTTTACTTTTTGTTTTTGGGTTGTTGAACTCGATTCTCCAAACAACTTTCTTTTGCAATAGTACTTCAAAGGCGTTGCATCTTTTTTATCGTTGAGCTCCTTATCGGGTGAATTGACTTCATTCTCATCCTCATATTTGTTTTCTTCGTTATTCTCATCCACTCCCTAGTAAATTGCGATAGATAATTACTTATCTTAATTGTAAAACAAATGAATAATAAAAATGTGAGATAATTTAAATAGTTAAATAAACCTACGTAGTCAAGCTCCTTTTCTGCTTCCGCATGCACCATTTTGGACATCAAATCTGATTCCTGTAAACAAATGATACGCATAAATTATAAAAATAATGGATAGTTATAAATTATTATTTATTATATATTGTATTAAATACTGATCTAAATAAAAAATATAACAATTGTTACCTGACTTTCAATAAGAAAAGTTCCATTCTTCCCAACAGCTTCAACATCATCGCAAATTTTGAAAAATGAAAAAGAACAATCGAAATTCTTTATTTCAGTTGACTTCACCTGAACCTTTTTTTTTTTTCAAGAAACGATAGAGGTATTATATTAATAAAACCGCACATTGTTGTCAGTTGACTTCACCTGAACCTTGAACAATATTTTTTTGCCCATCATTGTTGTCAGTTCATTAGGATATCGATTCCATCTTGCATCTGGAAGATAAAAATAATAATTGTACTGCAATTATAGTTACTGTATAATTAAATTAAATAAATATTAATTTAATATTTAATGTAAAAAATTAGACCTTTGTGTATTTGGAACGCAATTCATGACACAGATAGCCAAGCAATTTTTTACAATCTTTATTCCAACAAATAAAAGACGCGTTTCCTGTTGCATTATTGAACCTTGTACTACAAGAATAATCATTATTAGAGACACTAATTTTAGTGACGACATTAATGTCATGACTATAAAATGATTATTGTGATAACATTCGAACATATAGCGACATTATTATAGCGACAAATATTTCGCCACTAAAAATAATTATTCTTGTCAATAATAATTATTTAAGAATTAATAATTAATATTATTAATTATATTATTTTTAAAAAATAAATTTAATAAATTTGAAAAAATTAATTTAAAACTTACTTAAAAACACCATCGTCAAAAAAGTCATCACATTTTTCACAATAAAATCTTTTCCCGGCCGAAGTTAATTTTTTGGGACATTTGCGACATGACTGGTACCAGTAGTCACCAGCGAACGACTCAATGAGCGCGCAGATCCAATAACTGCCAACCTGTATGTGTTATCAGTAAATTTGCAATATATAAATGTACACACACACACACACACACACACATATATATATATTATAATTATAATTATGATATTAATATTAATGTGATACAATCTAATATAACTTACAATAATTTTTTTGTTTACTTACTTGACCACACGTGTAAAGGTAGTTGATAGTCTTGACTGAAAATTCAAAGTTGTTTTATGTTTCCACATTGTCAATGATAACCAGCGGAGCATTGACTTCTCGTATTGATCTCGCAATTTCAGCACATCCTCCTTAACTTCAACATTTTGTAATAAAATATAAAAATATAAAAAGACAATACACAATAACCGATTAAAATAAAAATGACATTATTCATATATTGACATCAGTCATATTAGTAATAAATAATAACTGATATGTGAATTGTATAAACAACTCACGCTGCAACAAACTCTTTTATCTCGACAATTAACTTTGTGATATCAAAGGTGTTTGAAACCTTCACTGATGCTGCAAATAGTAAAAAAAATTAATCAAACTTTTATTAAAAAATAAAAAAATTGAAATATAAAAGTAAATACAAACAAATTAGTAGTATTAAATTTACCTCTAACAACTTTGGCACGACAAAACTGTAAAATAACCACAAGAGATTCAATATCACGGTTTAGTATAGGGGGCATTACTTCATCAACCTTTTCTTCCCACAATCTGCAAGATAGTTTGTTTCGACTGGAAAATATAAAACTAATAAATAAAAATAAAGTATAAAAATTAAAATAAATTATAATTTAAATGAAAAGCAACTTATAAAAACAAACATGTATTGTTATTGTTATATCAAAATTTAAATGAAAACAACTACAGAACAGGAACATTTTATTGTTATAGAAATATAAAAATCCGACGTCCTCCAAACTTATTTCAGCAAAATGTGTTGTTCTATTGTCAAAAGTCCTTGTCTGCGGTTGTTTATACCGACGACTCGTCCAATAACAACTGCAAATAGTACAACAAATATTAAAACATGTATTAAAATAAGAATTAAAGATTTATTAAAGTACGTATGGATAAAAATTGTACCGATGAGCATAGGGTCGAAAAAGGTTCCTTTAGCCAACTCAAAAAAGCTCGTGAAATTGTAGAGGAATTTCGAAAACCTGTCTTTGAAGATTCTCACCACCCGAGTGCGGCCATGAAAAGCAATTTTGTACCTTGCTATTATTGTCTTATACCTAGCTACAATGAAGTCCCTGATTAGCGACGGTATTTTTTGTGACGACATTTGAACATATAGCGACAAAAATTTTCGCCATTAAAAATAATTATTCTTGTCAATTATAATTATTTAAGAATTAATAAATAGTATTATTTAATTATATTATTTCTAAAAAATAAATTTAATAGATTTTAAAAAAATAATTTAAAACTTACTTAAAAACACCATCGTCAAAAAAGTCGTCACATTTTTCACAATAAAATCTTTTCCCGGCCGAAGTTAATTATTTGGGACATTTGCGACATGATTTGTACCAGTAGTCACCAGTGAACGACTCAATGAGAACGCAGATCCAATAACTGCCAACCTGTATGCGTTATCAGTATATTTACAATCTGCAATATACATATATTATAAATATAATTATGATATTAATATTAATGTAACACAATCTAATCTAATGTAATTGAATAATTAGGATATATATATATTATAATTATAATTATGATATTAATATTAATGTGATACAATCTAATCTAATGTAATTGAATAATTAGGTCATCTTATAATAATTTTTTTGTTTACTTACTTGACCACACATGTAAAGGTAGTCGATAGTCTTGACTGAAAATTCAAATTTGTTTTTTGTTTCCACATTTTAAGTGATAACCAGCAGAGCATTGACTTCTCGTATTAAACTCGCAATTTCAGCACACCTTCCATAACTTCAACATGTAGTAAAAAAATAAAAAATATAAGAAGACAGTACACAATAACCGATTAAAATAAAAATGACATTATTCATATATCGACATCAGTAATAAATAATAAATGATATGTGAATTGTATAAACAACTCACGCTGCAACAATATCTTTTATTTCATCTGTAGACTGATCGACAATTAACTTTGTGATATCAGAGGTGTTTGAAACCTTCACTGATGCTCAAATAGTAAAAAAAAAATAAATCAAATAAATCAAACTTTTATTAAAATATTAAAAATTTTGAAATATAAAAGTGAATACAAACAAATTAGTAGTATAAAATTTACCTCCAACAACTTTGGCACGGCAAAACTGTAAAATAACCACAAGAGGTTCGATATCACGGTTTAGTATGGAGGGCATTATTTCATCAACCTTTTCTTCCCACAATGTGCAAGATAGTTTGTTTCGACTGCATATTATAAAACTAATATATAAAAATAAAGTACAAAAATTAAAATAAATTATAATCTAAATGAAAAGAAATTTACAAAATACAAACATTGTATTGTTATTGTTATATCAAAATTTAAATGAAAACAACTGCAAAACAGGAACATTTTATTGTTATAGATATATAAAAATTTCTCGACGTCCTCCAAAGTTATTTCGACAAAACGTGTTGTTCTGTTGTCAAAAGTCCTTGTCTGCGATTTGTTTATACCGACGACTCGTCCAATAACATCTGCAAATAGTACATCAAATATTGAAACATGTATTAAAATAAGAATTAAAGATTTATTAAAGTACGAATGGATAAAAGTTGTATCGATGAGCATAGGGTCGAAAAAGGTTCCTTTAGCCAACTGAGAAAAGCTCGTGAAATTGTAGAGGAATTTTGGAAACCTATCTTTGGAGACTCTCAAAACCCGAGTGCGGCCATGAAAAGCAATTTTGTCCATTCCTATTGTTATCTTATACCTACCACCATTTGGAGATACAATGAAGTCCCTGATTGCAATAACATTTCCTTCCTTCAGATGGCGCCTAAAAAGCTCCATATGAAACTTCTTGATAGAAGAAGCCTCCTTTTTGTAGGTACTTTTGGGACAAACCTTGGAGGTTCTTTCCACCCGGTTCCCCTGAAATTAATAAATAAAAAAAAAACAATTATAAAGCAATCATTTATAAGGCAAAAAATATTTATATTCAATGTGAATATTGAAATCGATTTACCTCAGAATCATGAAGTATTACTTCAAGACCCAAAATTGTAGAGCGATCCCCAAATGTTGTACGCTCTTAGCATCTTACAACACGAACCTTGATGTTCCATTCAGTCTTGTTCATGTTCACATTCTTAAGGAGGTGAATGCCATGATTTTTTGTTTTTTTTGTTTTTGTTTTTTGTTTGCTTGCTTTCGTGTGTGTTTTGTAGTGAAGGTACGATATAATGATTTTGGAATATATGTATTTATTTATAAAGATTGAATAATAATCAATACTTAATTCCACTACAATATTAAAACATGACTTCTTAACTGCCCAACACGATAGAGAGTGCTGAGTAGTCCTTAACTGCACGATAGAGTGCGAGTACTTCTTAACTGTTGAACACGATAGAGACTGTTATCCAATTCAACCAACTGAAAAAGTTGTTTATTAGTATTTCTTTATATATTTTTAAATTAAACTAAAAACGCGGAAGTTACGTAGGAACGACGTAGGTGAATCTTCTTAATATCTGAACACGATATATACTATTAGTATTACTATTACTATATTATTATTATTAAATATGTTTGTTTAAATTATTTATCTAATTTTCATAATTTATACTTTATAAATTAAAATAATTATAAGTGTTTGTATGCTTATTGTCTGAATTTTATAATTTTTTTATCTTAAATTTTGTGCATAAATATTACATCTAATAGTAGTGAAATTAGATATAAAATATTTTAAAAATATGTAACAGAAACATTCTGCATTCTTCATAATAAATAAATAATTAACAACATGTTTGTAGAATATATTTTATTTCATTTTCTACAACATACAAATAAATCTAATTATTCTAATTAAATCTAATAATAATGAAATGTTCAATAGAGAGTGTTGAGTACTTCTTAACTGCACGATAGAGTACGAGTACTTCTTAACTGCTGAACACGAATGTAACGCCCCGTTATTTTTAAGTGATAAATACTGATTTATTTTTCCAAAAATCAATTTAAGGATTTATTTAACGGGTGCTACTCGAAAATTCACATAACATTTTAATTCCACACTTAGACTATGGGGTACATCCATCCCGAACATATCTCATGCCAACATGATACAATCCCAACAATCAACATGCTTCATCAATTGATCAGTCATATGAAATAATCCAGTTCATAAGCCCGTCAGGATATAAAACCAAATCAAAGTCATAATCAAATCCCAATTCCAAGTTCAAAATGTCAAAGCATGCGATAGAAATCAAATACATAGTCTGATTTTTTCCAAAATGATAATAACATGTTCGACAAATGAGAAAGATAATAATAAAAGAGCGGAAGCAGGTAAAACAGTCCAATAACACATAAATGACCCCGCCTCGCTCGTCTTTCGCCACGACCACCAGCTCAACCTGAAAAGAGGGTTAATAATGGGAGTGAGCGACGAACATGCTCATCGTGGGAATACCATACAGTATAAATAATATAAAGACTTACAATCATAATCGTAGCATGTAAGAAAATCGACTAGTCTACTCCCTAACACAGCCTACGCTCATGTGACCACACCTAACCTATCAATACAACAAAGATAGGAACAATAAAGACGGGAGCAACCGTAGATACACCATCACGGACTAAGCTCTCTAAAGGCTAGAGTTAGAAGGAGTTCCAACAACCGAGATACAACACCTCATATACCGCCGGTTCACATGCATACATAGATTATCAAACCAAACATTTATAGAAATTAACAAACATGGTAAGGTTTATCAACACCCACCTGATCAGTTTTGGCAGATATATTACACAATCGGATGTAGGTTGGCTGAGGCTCGACTCCTCAAACACCTACATTTTAGCGAGATAATATATCAATAATCTATCTCACTACTCAGAAATAATCGAAAACTCAAACTTAATCAAAATTAAGAATTAAGGGTTTTAATCGAAATTTTCGTGGACTTTGAACTCTCAAATATTTGAAAAATAAGACTCAGAGAACGAAAATAGAGTCTCAGGACATAAAAATAATTTTTCCCGAATATTTCCCATTTGAAAATTATTTTTAAAATTTAGATCGGTATGAAAAACGGGCTTCCGGAACACAAAAAGGGCTTAAAAACCGTATTGGGCCGAATTAGCCACTACTCAAACTGGTCTGCCGTGAAAACTGGGCCTCGCTCTGCAAATTTGGACCGAAACAATGGCCAGGTCCAATGCAAAAATAAGCTGAGGGCACGCGGGCTTAGGGGCGGGATCACGGACTTGACTGCTGGGTGAGTAAACGGGACGTGCGCGGGCTGCATTCGGGCCGAACGGCCCGCGCGCCTTTTCTGCAACACAGCTGGGCTCCTTGCGCAAGTGGGCAGCTGGGAATAATTTAATTTGGGCAACAAATAACATAACAGAGGATTGGTACATCCAAATACAAACTAGGAAAATCATGGTACATCCAAATACAAGGGAACCCACTCAGAACATAAAGTTCGGGTACTTCCTACGAATATCGACCTCCCTCTCCCAAGTAGCCTCGTACTCGCCATGCCGGCTCCATTGCACCTTGACGAGATCAATAGCCCAGTTCCTCATCTGATGAACCTTCCGGTCCAGTACGGAAAACGGTACCTCATCATAGGGAAGGTCTCGCTTGACCTACAACTCGCCAAAGTCTACCACATGCTCAGGGTCACGCATGTATCTCCGCAACATCAGGACATGGAATACATCGTGCACCCCTGAAAAGTTGGGTGGTAAAGCCAGCCGGTAGGCTAAGTCATCGACTCGATATAGAATCTGGAACGGTCCAATAAAGCGCGGCTGAAGTTTTCCCCTCTTCCCAAAGTGAAACACGCCCTTCATCGGCGAGACCTTCAAGAAGAAATGATCCCCTTCCTCAAATTCAGGTCCTTCCTATGCTTTTTAGCATAGGACTTCTGTCGATCCTGGGCGGTCTTGATCCTATTCCGGACCAACTCAACCTGTGCCGCCGCCTTCTGGATCATCTCCAGACTCAGAATCCTTCTCTCACCAACCTCGTCCCAATACAAGGGGGTCCTGACCTTCCGCCCGTACAATGCCTCGTACGCCGCCATTTTGATCGATGCCTGATAACTATTGTTATAGACTAACTCAACCAGTTTCAGAGACTCCTCCCAGGACATACCCTTATCGAGCACCATTAGCCTCAAAAGATCCTCCAGAAACTGAATGGTGCGCTCGCACTGCCCGTCGGTCTCGGGGTGCAAAGCGGTACTAAAAGCCAAGTTCATCCCCATGGCTAGGTGCAAACTCCTCCAAAACTGCCCGGTAAAATGGGGGTCTCGTTTGGGTACAATCTCAACAGGCACCCCGTGGAGTCGAACTATCTCAGTAATGTACAGCTTCGAGTACTGCTCCATAGTCATCGACATGGTCACAGGCAAGAAGTGTGCCGACTTAGTCAGTCGTTCCACGATCACCCAAATAGCATCCTTCCCAGATCTCGACCTCGACAGGCCTACCACGAAGTCCATCATAATCTTCTCCCCCTTTCACTGGGGAATATCCAATGGATGGAGCAAACCGGACGGCCTTTGGTGCTTAGCTTTCTCTCGCTGACACACCAAATAGCCATATACAAATCTCTCCACTTGTCGCTTCATACCTCTCCACTAGAAGGACTTCTTCAAGTCCTGATAAATCTTCGTACTCCCAGGATGAACGGTGTACGGGGCACTATGTGCCTCTCTCAAGATCTCCTTTCGTAGCTCCCACACCTTCGGGACACAAAGTCTCCCTTCGAAGACCAAGGCCCCATCAGATGCAACTGTGAAACCTCTAAATTTGTCGGCCTCCATCAACTCTCTCATCCAGCGCAGAAAACGATCGTTTGGTTGCTCAGCGACTATCCTCTCTAGAAGAGTCGATGTCACAATTAGTGCTGCCAACGCACCAATAGTCAACGGGGTCGACTTCATCGTCTCTAGGTTCATTCGCTCGAACTCCCAGCACAACGTCTCCTGCCGAGTAAGCATACTAGACAGCTCGCTATGACTTTTTCGACTGAGGGCGTCAGCGAGCACGTTAGCCTTCCTAAGATGGCAGCTAATCGTGCAGTCGTAGTCCTTTACGAGCTCCAACCATCGCCGTTGCCGCATATTGAGCTCCTTCTGAGTAAAGATGTACTTCAGGCTCTTGTGGTCGGTAAAGAGCTCGCACTTCCCTCCGAACAGGTAGTATCGCCAAATCTTCAGGGCATGAACCACTGTGGCTAACTCCAAGTCCGGTTTACTCCAAGTCGTGGGTGGGGTAGTTCATCTCATGAGGCTTCAACGACCTCGACGCGAATGCCACGACTCTCCCCTGCTGCATCAACACGCAGCCCAAACCCAACTTCGAAGCATCACTATAAATGTTGAACTCCAAAGTCGGATCCGGAATAGTCAACATAGGTGTTGTGGTCAGTCTCCGCTTCAACTCTTGGAAGCTAGGCTCGTACTTGGGACTCCACTTGAGCCTCACAGCTTTCTTCGTCAAATGCATCATCGGTTGGGCTATCTTCGAGAAGCCCTCGATAAATCTGCGGTGGTATCCTGCTAGGCCCAAGAAAATACGGATGTCACACTCGTTCTTCGGCGTACACCAACTCTTCACCGCCTCGATCTTGCTGGGATCAGTTTCTATGCCTCTAGCCGTCACGATATGGCCAAGGAAAGCCACACGATCAAGCCAAAACTCGCACTTCGAGAACTTCGCGTACAACCTCTCCTTGTGAAAAGTTTCTAGTACAAGCCTCGGGTGAATCTTATGCTGCTCGTCGTCCTTCGAATAGACCAAAACAATGACAAATTTGTCTAGGTAGGGGTGGAAGACTCTGTTCATCAGGTCCATAAACACCGCGGACGCATTTCTCAAACCGAACGGCATCACTACGAACTCGTAGTGCCCCTACCTAGTCTGAAAGGCCGTCTTGAAAATGTCGGAATCCCGAATCTTCAGCTGATGGTAACCAGATCTCAAGTCGATCTTAGAGAACACGGTGGCACCCCCCAACAGGTCAAACAGATCCTTGATCCAGGGTAGAGGGTATTTATTCTTCACGATTAGGTTATTCAGGTCTCTATAGTCAATGCACATCCGCATCGA